AAGATAAGAGAGACAGAAACATAGAAAAGAAAAAAGGGTGGGTGAGTTGGAGTTGAAAAGAAAGAAAAAAAATAATTGGAAGGGTGTGAAGAATGTTGGCTGGTTGTTCTTCTACATTGTTGTCACCTAGGCATAGATTGAGGAGTGAAGCATCTGCACAATTTCAAGCTTGTAATTTCCCTTCAATGAGCACACAAAGATTGGATTTGCCATGTAGTTTTGCTAGAAAAGACAACCAAAGGTCCCAGTCTATTAGGCCAGTAGGCAGCCTTTCTGTTGATAAGCCTATTGAAACCAAGAACAGTAGTTGCTCTCTTAAGCAGAACATTCGTCTACCGCCATCCCCGACGACTGCTCAGACATCATCATATGTAGAAGGAGAAAGCAAAGATGAATATTGGGAAAAGGGTAGGAGTTTGAAGAGGTATGCTGATCAGGGATGTTTTGATGATGAGAACTGCATAAATAGAGGAGCTAAGAGGAAAAAGGGTAATAGGAAATCAGTTGATTGCTCAGAAGAAGTAGAAGGCTATGGTCTGAGTCTGGGACAATTGGGTAGTGGCAATTTCTGGTTACAATCAGGTTACAACGTGTCGCGATCAGTTCAAGCAGCTGCACCATTCTCATTTTCTTGTTCAGGTGAGGAAGAGAGTGTATGTTTTGTGCCTAGTGAAGTGATATCACCGCCTCCACCTTTGTCAAACAATCCTTGGATTGATTCTGTAGTGACTGAGATTACTAATTTTGGTGATAAGAATGTTTCAACAAGTCAAGATCCGGCCAAGGAGGCCTCAGTATCAAGTGCTTCTTTGGACAGTCATGGTTTGGTTCTTAGGCTTAATGAGAATCCCGGGGAGCATGAAATAGGCAATGGTTCGAGGCCACCTAATCCAAATGACAGGAGTGAAGTTGTAGCAGCACATAATGAGCATAACAACCATCGCGAGGATGATGCAGCTGAGCTGATCAGCTTACTTGTGAGTTGTGCTGAAGCAATTGGCTCGAGGAATGTCACTGGTGTTAATCAACTGATAGCTAGGCTAGGGGATCTTGCCTCTCCAAGAGGAGGGTCTCCAATAATCCGGCTAACTGCTTACTTCACCGAGGCTTTAGCTTTGCGTGTTGCAAGGCTTTGGCCTCACATCTTTCACATTATACCCCCTCGGAACCTTGATCGTTTAGATGATGATAGCAGTACAGCATTGAGGCTGTTGAATCAGGTTAGTCCAATTCCAAAGTTCATCCATTTCACGTCAAATGAGATTCTGCTTAGAGCTTTTGAAGGCAAAGAGCGGGTTCACATTATTGATTTTGACATTAAGCAAGGGCTGCAGTGGCCTAGTCTGTTTCAGAGTTTGGCTTCTAGGCCAAACCCTCCCACTCATGTTAGAATTACTGGTATAGGAGAATCAAAGCAGGATCTTGTTGAAACAGGAGATAGACTTGCCGAGTTTGCTGAGGCGTTGAATCTGGCTTTCGAGTTCCATCCAGTTGTTGACAGGCTAGAAGATGTGAGGCTATGGATGCTACATGTGAAAGAAGGAGAAAGTGTTGCAGTGAATTGTGCGTTACAGATGCATAGGCTTCTATATGATAGTTCTGGTGGGATCCTGAGGGATTTTCTCGGGTTGATTAGAAGCACAAATCCCACCATTATTCTGATGGCAGAGCAGGAAGCTGAGCACAATGAGCCTAGCTTGGAAGCAAGACTTGTCAACTCACTCAGATACTATGCTGCTGTTTTTGATTCTATTGGTTTCAGCCTTCCATTAGACAGCCCTTCCAGGATTAAGATAGAGGAGTTGTTTGCTCGCGATATTAGAAATATCATTGCTTGTGAAGGACGAGATAGGACTGAAAGGCATGAATGTTTTGGGAAATGGCGGAAGCTGATGGAACAAGGGGGTTTCAGATGCACAGGGATTACAGAAAGGGAACTGCTTCAGAGTCAAATGCTGTTGAAGATGTACTCGTGTGAGGACTTCAGGGTCATAAAGCAGGGGAACGACGACGCTGCACTAACTCTGAGTTGGTTAGACCAGCCTCTATGCACAGTCTCTGCGTGGTCACCCCTTGATGCTGCTGGAAGTTCATCCTCTTATTATCAGCCAAGTTGATTGATTGGTCTTTTGTCGAAGCTCTTCGTTCATTCATAGGCAGACATCTTTTCGTACACAGGAAAAAGGTTACCAAATTCTTTGTAGGTAGAGTCATTCTTTCATTCTTTACTGCAGATAGATTTGTCAATTAAGAAAAGAAATTCTTTTAGATCAAATTGCATAGGTAAAATTCCAGGCTTCATGTTGTTTGTACCTTTCATTTCATATTTTTATTTATTCTTTATTCTTCTTGTAAGCTAGGGGTATTCTTTCTTAGTTATATTCAGTCAAGTTCATCAATGTATTCTTTGTTGTAATCATTCATTATTGTTATCCATCTCATTGTAGCAAGAAGATATCAGCTATTGTTTTCAATGAAATGATTGTTTTAGTAATTTCTCCAGTCTTAACTATGAATTGGTTCGCCTTTATTTATGTTTTAGTATGTTTGAATGCCCACAAGCATGCAGAAATTGCCACAACAAATTGCTTAACATCACAGCAAATATCTGCATATAAAAGCAGTGGCGGACCCAGGATTTTGTGCAAGCGGGTTCAATCTTAGAAGTACATAACTTTAGTTGTTAAATAGTAGTTGTCAAGTGGGTTCAAATAAAATATTTATACAAAATTTATGCAGCTTTAATCCTAAATATTATTTTTTGATGAAGCAGGTTCAGGGTTCAGTTGAACCCGCTTGGCACCACGTGCGCCCGCCACTGTATAAAAGACTTAAAGTAGTTTAAGGCCATCTAAAAGCTTTTAAAGCTTGAAGATACTTTCCATTGTAAAATACTTCCACTTGAAATTATTATGCACTTGGGCACATGATCTTATTCTTAATGTAGAACTAACTTGCCTCTGTATCACCGCGGGAGCTTATGCACAATGCAGGGGATAGCGCACATAAAAGATATTGATAGTATCCCAATGATCATTTTCTAGCTTTGGGAATCAGAAGCAGTGGTTCTCTCTTTTGCAGTGTTACTCCAAACTTTTCGTTCATGTCTAGCTCGATGGAACATTTTCCATTCGGAAGCTCCCAATCAAAGAAATGAACAAGTGAAGCAAGGACTAAAGGAACGCTTTTTGCAGCCATAGGTAGGCCTGGGCATATTCTCCTTCCTGAACCAAATGGTAAGAATTCAAAGTCATTCCCTTTGAAGTCCATATTGGAACTCAGAAACCTCTGTGGCCTAAACATCTCTGGCTCTTTCCATATCAAAGAATCTCTCCCGATAGCCCAGACGTTAACCAAGACTTGAGCATCTTTTGGAATTGTGTAACTCATCACTTGGCATGTTTCGATAGCACGATGTGGAAGTAGAAATGGACCCGGAGGATGCAACCTAAGTGTTTCCTTCACACAAGCTTGAATATAGGACATCTGCAGCAGTTTAGATTCTTTTGGGAAATAACTTTCCCTGAGTTCTCTCTCGAGCTCAGCTTGAACTTTCTCCATTGACTCTTCATTTTTAATCAGTTCTGCTATCGCCCACTCAATCGTTGAGGTAGTGGTGTCTGTACCAGCAGTGAACAACTCCTTCACAGGATTAAAAAGAAACTTGTTAATATCCTACTTCCCAATAGAGAACCCCAACTTCATTGAATATTCAAAAAGAGAAGTGCTAAAGGCTCAATGCATTGATATCAGTTGTGTAACAGCATATATGCACAAAGACTAACATGATCAGTGGCGGAACCCCCTTCCGCCGGTAAAACTACACTGTATATATAAGGCAAAATCCGTTTTGTACCTCTATATATTATATTTTGAATCCCCTTGACACAGCTCAAAAGCATAGCTCAGTGGTCAAGGGGGTTCAAAACCTTTGTGAGGTTGCTGGTTCAATTCCTATTGGTTATAGTTTCTTTTAATTTTCTAACTTTTTCTTTTTTGAATACCCTTAGCAGGAAATCCTGCCTTCACCACTGAACATGATCACCATGATTTTCACATACTACTAAAAGATACTACTAACTTGTATTAGACCAAAAATGAATCTCACAAAGTAACTTTTGAGAGAAAGTGAGGAAACCAACCATGAACAGCTGGTGAATAGCATCGTTGGTAAAACCATTGTTAAGGAGAGTTTCTAAGAAATCATGTTGGCTAGAAGAACCACTCACTTTACTTTTCCTTCTTTCTTCAACAATCCGTTCCCACGTCTTAGAACGAATCTTTGACATTAAAACCATAGATTTTCTGCGCAAACCTTGAAGATCAAGTTTACACAAAATTGGATAAAAATCAGATATGTTAGGAGTAGATCCTACTTCCATTGCTTCCCTTATTAGACTTTTCATCCCACCATCTTCTGTTTCTTTCTCCAACTTAACAATATCTTGAGATATCATTACATTACTCAACATGTTCAACACAGTTGCAAAAATTAACTCTCCAAGATTGACCAGTTGACCTTCTTTTGATCTCAAGAATTCTATCAATTCCTTCACTTTTTTCTCCCTCAAACAAGCTTGAGACTCCAATACTTTGCCAGAGAAAAGCTCAGTTCTACATAAAGTTCTTAAGTATCTCCAACCATTGTTACATTCAGAAGTCCAGCCTATTGATGACTTTTCAAGTTCTGATTTTTTGAATGGAAAAGCATTTGGAACATGTCTACCAGATAGGATTCTATCATGTGTTTTAAGGATTTCAATAGCAGCAGAAGGTGATGATCCAACAACTAGACATTGAGTTCCAAGCTTGAGAGACATAAGGGGACCATAAGTTTTTGCAAAATTTGTAAGAGTTATGTGAGGCATTTTTCCCATATGAAGAATGTTTCCTAGGATTGGCCATGGTTTTGGTCCTGGTGGAAGTTGTGGGATTTTTGATGATTTGCAAAGTTTGAGGAGAAAAAAAATCAAAGGTAAGAGGAAAAGTGGAAGCAGGAAAAGAATTTCATATGACTGAGCCATGATCTCCAAATGGAGTAATGCTTCTTACTATCTGCTCTCTGTGACCTTTTAATATGGATTTAAATTGTTTTTTCTTTTACTAAAGCTCAGAGTATGTTGAAGGAGCCTTGGTGTAACTGGTAAAGTTGTTGTCATGTGATCAGGAGATTATGAGTTCGAGCCGTGCAAACAGCCTCTTGCAGAAATATAGGGTAAGACAATGTATAATAGACCCTTGTGGTCCGGCCCTTCCCCGGATCGTGCGCAGAACGGAAGCTTAGTATACCGAAAGCTTGAGTCTGTTATCAAACTTTAGGAGTTTTGCTTTGTATGTAAATTTTATCCCCGGTAATATAATCTTACGTATCAAAAAAATATGGTTTTAAATTATATGCAATTACACATAAAGACTTTTAACCCTATTAGCAGAGGCGGACCTATGTATTGAGTAGAGGGGTCACTGGATCCCGTTAATATCGTCAAAAATTCTGGATACATATGTGTACACATATATGTTGAAAATGGTCATATAATTTGCTTTGAACCCTTAAGATCAAAGACCTAAAGGGCCATTAATTGATCAGTCCGCTCATGTGCCCGCGTCACCTTCAAATCCTGGATCCAACTTTGACTATCAGCATAGTTAAACCTGTGATGCATGTTAATTATTACCTTTATCATATTACCGATTAATGCTTATCAATATCTTTTACATGTTTAGTGCATACAACTTCAAAAGATACTTAGAATATGTGATTAATGAGTAATGGGGCATTTAACTATGTTATAAAGAAATATGATTGCTAGATTATGATATATGAAATGTGTCATTAATTTGTTTTTCCTGTGCTGCTTTGTTATAGTCAGCTTAAAGATTAATAATGAATTAGGACCAGCTCAGCTTGATTAAATATATTTTAGTGTAAAATTTTCTTGTAATTTTGTTGAAGTAACTTCATAAGCTAGTAGTTGCAAGTCTTAATCTACTAATATTGGACCAAGTAATTTCAATCAGAAAGGTAGAAAATTGATTAACTTGGATTAACTTGTATCCTTCTTGTGAGTTGATAGATAGTGATCGATTCTAGAAGAGGGTGAAGTAGAGGGATAGTTAAGTACTCAATTTTCTCTGTTTGTCATGAAAGAGAAATCCAATAACAATGGGAAGGTTATTTTGGAGCATTTCTTTTTCTATATAGGTGATTTTCAATCTATATGAAATGGGCAATTTTATTATCTACACGCTTAAATTTATTACACATTTTACCTACTATGCAACTGCAATTTTTTAAAATTATTTTTTAAATATTTTTTTCCCGTCACATTAGGAGTTAGGATTTAGGGGATTATGGAAGATGAAGGGAGAATGAAGACAGTGAGAATTTTTTATTTTTAATCTACCATCCAACAAATTTATTTCAAGGACTGGCAATTTTTTTTTTTTTTTTTTGTGTAACTTACTTGACTAAATAAATAAATATCTTCCAAATTAAGTACTCGTTTTCCTTGAGCTTTCCTAATCTGGAACTTCTCTTTAAATTTTGGACAAAAGTTTCCTGAGTTATATATATTACTTAAGAGTCCAAACCAAAGTAGTAAAAAACACATAATTTATGATCCCAAAACTAAAAATATGAATTTTTTCTTAGGGATTTTTACCTTCCTATACACTATTTGAAACCGTATTACCCTCCCTACTCAAGTTTTAATTTAATTACATGGTCATATACAATTTACCAATTATATACAAATAAGTTTTAAATGAGTATCCCTTTGTATTAGGAATTGAATAAGGAATATCACTTATTTCCTTATCCCTTTATACTTGCCCCCTCTTTCTCTCTCTCTCCATCTCTCTCTCTGTCTCTCTCTCTCTCTCTTCGCCTTTCTACTCTCCTTTTCTATTTTTTCCCCAATTTTCATTCGTTTCATGTTCTCTGTTTTTTATGCTTTCTTGTTGTATAGAGTTTTAATGAAATTCATCAATGGATTTCAATCGTCTTAACTTAGCAATTCTCTTTTATGTTGCACAATTGGTGTTCAAATTGAAATTGTCAATTAATAAATTTTGAAGGTGTTTGACTCTCCACCATTGACAACCATTAAAAAGCTTTGGAGCCTTGAAATCGAATTTGGATTTTCAAAAACCATTATTTGTTTGGATTTGGTGTTGTTGCAAATAATTGAGAATATTGTTTGGAGTTTATATCTTAATTTTGAGGGTATTTTGGTAAAGATTAGACTTGATTTTGGCTGAATTTCAGATTGAAACTCAAAGGAGAAGAAGAAGAAGAAGAACATATGACATACAATATACTTACGAAATTATAGTAAAGTTGTATTATAATTGTATGTAAATTGTATTCTGTTGTAGTTTTATATATATTTTTATTTGAATGTTCTATGAAAATTGAAAAATAGTTGTATAATGTATAAATCGTTGTATAAAATT